TCCTTATAAGGCTTAGGCAATCCTCCTCCCTTTGAGCTAGCTTTTGGGGTGTGAGTTAGGCCTAAGACCTAATTTAACAGCTACACGTTGCACTGTTGGAAACCAGCTTGAGGGATTCAAGATGACTTAGAAACTCTAATCTTGGAAAAAGAACACACCAACCCATTCCATGAATAACCAAATGTTCCTCACAACATGCAACTCAACTTTGGCATATTTCTCAAAATCTTCTCTGCATCTTCACCGTAAGAGAGATGTAGAGTGGAAAAGGTCCCCAAATTAGCTAATTGTGAGTTAGCAAGTGATTCATCCATGTTCCCCCCGGAGCCCCCACCTTTTTGCTCCCTTAGTGACTCGAACTCACAACCTTAAGGTTGGAAGTGAGGGCGCTTACTATCCGAGTAATTCCCTCCTATCTATTTGCTTATGCCTTATGGTGACTAACAAATAAATTAAAATTTTACTTGGTAGTAAGAGTTTACAGTAACCAATTTGTATAACAGAAATACAAAACATCAATGACCAAGCGATCATTTTACACTGTTGGAAGCAAACCATTCTCATAATCAAGATAAACTATATTTAATCTTGTACTACAATCTTACCGATAGTATGTCCAACAATATCTTACTTCACCATTACAAATGACAAGATATAATGTGTATCTACTTACAATGATAAACTTCCCGCAAGATTTGTGCAAGCACATCACCATTACAATGACAAAGCAACCTGTTGCTAACAAACATCTGCTCCTAGAGTATTCAAAAAAGGAACATGAGGCAAGAAGATACTTGAGATTCACGAGATCCGTTCTCTAGCAGATTTATATCATGTCTCAGTTTGAGGCCACTGACACATCATCTGGGGTAGAATGAGCTGTGAGAAATGTTTGCAATTGAAGCTGAATCATCTCCATGGGGATAAGATGGGGTATCCCAAGGGTCATGAAGCTCCATGGTTTTCTCATCTACAAAGGGAGGATTAGTTGGTGCAGGTAACTCTTCTTCTTTCTTTACTAGCATCTGCAATGCCTTAGACATAGACGGTCTTAATCCCGGAATCTCTTGTGTGCACAAAAGTCCTACATGTACCACTCTTAGAACCTCCTTTTTTACATTGCTTGTGTGATAGTTGTGCAGCATTAGATTTGGATCAAACAGTTCCTCTACTCTCGCATGCTGAAAATGCTGCCACGTCTGTTTCATCCACGACAGTAGTTAAATCAATGAGCAAAACATTCTTGTCTGCAATTGTATAGATTCAAGTAACTAGAAGAATTGGTTCACAACTTACAATGGAAATTAAACTGTCAGAGTATTCAGTGTTTTTGCTTCTGTTATTCTGTCTTCCGGTAACAATCTCCAATAAAAGAACACCAAAGCTGTAAACATCTGCCTTTTCAGTTAATTGGCCATGAGCTAAGTATTCTGGTGCCATATAACCTCTGCAAGGAAAATAATGGAAAATTAACCATATGATGAGATAACTAATTACACTGCTGGCTGTTAATGTTTAGCGAACATAAGTTTTGAGCTACGATTTAAATGGTGAAAGTAAAGAATCACTAACAAAGTCCCAGCTATAGCGGTGCTTATGTGACTCTTGTCTTCTTGGAAAGATCTGGCCAACCCGAAATCAGCAATTTTTGCTCTGAGCCTCGAATCCAACAGGATATTGCTGGCTTTTATATCTCTATGAATAATCCTCGTTCTATTGTTTTCGTGGAGGTACACCAAACCTTCTGCAGTCCCTATAATGATGTCAAATCTTTTCTCCCAATTCAATGTTTTGCCTTTGGTAGAGTCTGCCAATTTCAACATACAAGGTGAATTCTATTAATTTCATGCCACTAAGAATCGAGTGTGCCAAAGTCACAAAGTCTTCTACTCACCAAAGATAAACCGATCAAGACTCTGGTTCGGGAGGAACTCATACACAAGAAGGCTTTCAGGTCCGGAACAGCTGCATCCTAATAACCTTACTAAATTTTTGTGCTCAACACTGCTAATAATATTGACTTCGTTGTAAAAATCTGCAGCTCTGTGTTTGTTGTTGAAGAACAGCCTTTTGACGGCTATCTCTCTCCCGTCTTGTAGAACTCCCTACAATATAATAAGAATATTATAGACTTACTCTGATGTGATTATGTGAATAAACTGAAAACATGAAAGATGTTAACGAGCTAAGCATTTTCAGCTCACTACCTTATAAACTGTGCCAAATCCACCTTGCCCGAGCTTGTTTGCCTCATCAAAAGATGCAGTGGCTTTCTCAAGAGTTGAATACTTGAAGTTCAGGCTGCTGTCGTTAAGGGTCTTCACTAACTTCTCCACATCATTGGAACCTGAAAATCTCAAACTCCTTAGTTGCTTTAAGAGACATTCAAAGCTAAAGCCTTAGCTGAAATATCACCAAAATGTTTTACCTTTTCTCTTCTTCTGTATTTGTTTGTTCTTCCACATATAAAAGGCGATAATAGCTCCCAGTACGAAGACGACCACAGCACTAACAACAGCAATTACAATCACTACCACTGAAAATCCGTCAATATATCAGCTACATGGTCTAGATAACAGTTTCGGTGATTGACTTGAAGGAAAAAGGAAGAAGACAAAGTAAAGATTACCATTTGGCGATGAGTCTTCACTGCTAGCAATAGCATTAAGAAAATTAACATCTGAGTACCTCAGGAAGCATCCAGTATACAACGCTCGTCCTTCTGACCATGGCAAGCACCCCATCATGGAGGCAGATGCATTTTCCAAACAAGCTCGGCACGAGTTAGCACTCAGTGTTTTCCAGCAATCAGCTAGGACATAAGCTGTCTCGTTCATTGCCCCAGGCACTGCCAATTCAGCACGGGAATAGCCATTATTGTTTGGTGCACTAGCTACCGCCTGCTGAACAGCCCGCCTAGCTGTTTGTTGGAACAAAGAATCCTTTCTGGTTCTATTTTCACAAACATGTCTGTCCTCAGGTCCTAAATACTGGTGATCAAACGTGTAATTCTCAGCTCGCATAAAGCATCCATCTAGATAAATTCGACCTCCATTGAAAGGAAAACATTGAGGAAGGACAGTGCGAGCTTCAGCATAGCATAGGACACAGTCAAGTAAAGAAAGATCACCATAACATTGTGCTAGTCCATAGTTAGCATCCGGTCCACTCCCGGTGAGTGCAATTCCATAGCCTTGAGTTCTCATTTGATCACTTATTTTTTCCATTGTGGCAACAAAATTCGGGACAAAAGCTGTTGTATTATGCTCAGGTTGCGTACTACATATGATCTGGATCATCTGAGATCTTGGTTCTGCCTCTGATACATTTGGTAGAAGTAAAATCGACAGAACGACAAATAGCCTAAATGCAACTAATGTCACTGCTTTCTCCATTGCGCGACTGCAAGATCTAATAAGAGAAATCAATCAAATATAAGAACATCAAATCATTGTATTTAAAAGCAGTTTTGAACTATTGTATAATATGGAAAAAATGAAGAAATGATGAGGCAGCTTCAATTTCATAACCAAAATGTTGTCAACAAAGTCAAAAAAGGGAACCAGAAATATTCATGGTTGAATGTTGAAACTACTGCAGCATCCTATATTAGACTAAGATTGATTTGTACACACTGAAAATGTAAAAAATATTAGGAAAAAAGGGCATAATTTAACTTTGTAATATAGCTGATATATCCTTGTTAAAAAAGTGGCATATATATATCTTCGTCATCTAATAAATATAGCATATTTATTCTTTTCATTAACAAACTCATATTTATTTAATTAAAAAAATAATCTAAAATTGGTTTTTTAATTTAAAAAGATATCACGAGCCTTAAAAAATAATTTCACTCATTTTTTTAGTTGGATTGGAGAGGTAAAAAAATGAGTGAGGTAATTTTTTAAAGTCGCATAACATTTTAGAAATTAAAAGACCAATTTTAGGATTACTTTTTTTTTTTAATTCAGTAAATATAAGTTTGTTAACAAGGGTAAATAATGCTCTATTTGTTAGACGACAAGAGTATATATATGACATTTTTTTAACAAAAATTATATCAACTCTAAATCAGAATGTTGAACAATATAATTCCCCCCTTTCCAAAAAATGATTTTTTTTTTCCATGTTACTTAATGCCACTTATTTTAATAATCTAACTTTCAATATATAAAAGTTAAACTCATCAATTTGAAAAGTATATAGTAGTATAAAATAGGAGAGAAAGTTGAGAATTGTGATACATCTACAAACAAAAGAGAGGTCAGCATTGATGATTATACCAAAAAAACCAACTAACATTGATTTTCATGGAGTATGTAAAAAGTAAGACCCCACCTCAATCACAGCTTGGCTCAAGCTAGATAATATAATAAGTAACAATAATAATTAAAAAGACTAAAATACCCCCAATTGACCAATTTTCAGAACTTTACTCCCCATCTTCAAAAAATCATCTTTCATATATCTTAATCATATTAGAAGAAATTAAGATATAGTAATTGCATCAAAAATTACAAAATCCTCAGAGTTGAACTGAATACAGAGAATTCTCAATTTGAGCAGTTTCTTTGGAAAAACACATAACAGAAAAAAGTGAAAGCAAAAGACACTTAAAACTCAAAAATCTTACCTTTGGATCGCGAAAAATAGATTTGTTGAGCAAGATGGCTGTAGAAAATTATATTGCAGATGCTTTAGGAACTCTGCTAAAGAACAGAGGACAGTGACAAAGAAGAAAGAAAAAAAAAAAGGAGTATAAATAAAGGAATGTATAATTGGATGAGGAAATATTAAATGAGAGATGAGTTTTAAGGAGAAGAAGTGGATATTTCTCAATTTAAATTAAAAATGAGGAGCTAATGGAAGACTCGTTTAAATAACGCGCTTCTTTTAACCGAAATCGGAATCAATTTTATGATTGAATAGTAAAATGATATTTTATTCGTTTCATTTTATATGATATTGTTATTTTTTTAGTTTGTCTAAACATAAATGTTATTTTTTTTTAGTTTGTCTAGACATAAATGTTATTTTATTATAATAAATTTCTTTTTTTAATGGTTTATAATCATATAAATATCTAAAAATTATTTTAAACTATAACTTTCAAAAGTCTTTTTATTCTTTTTGAATATATCATCAAGTTAAATAATGTCACAAAAAATAAAACAAGAGGATCCTTATTAGTAATAGAAATTCGGAAAGGGTGGGGGACTGGGGGTCACATTAGACGGCTGGGTGGTTAAATATGTGAATTTGAAGCGTTTTTTTAAGTTAAAAATTTTAATTTAATATGTTAATAAGGTAAATTATTTTTTACACAATTGTAACAAACTTAACTTATTTTATGTAGCTATTTGCCTTATGTTTCAAGTTACTGATTTTTTTATTTTTTGTAAGGATAGTTGCTTTTGATTATTTTTAAGTAATTTGATTGTGTATGAAAATTAAGTTGTCAATGTGTAGAAGTAAATACTAGTATTATATGATTTAATTTATATATATGGGCAACATGGCGATGTAAAAAAAACTATTGCACTATTACTCATGTATCTTAAACTATATAATAAACTATAATATATAATAGTTAGTTATATGTTTAGTTTTCAGGTTATTAATATATTTTTAATGGATGGTTATTTGTAATTTTTTTTACTTGAATTAAAAGTGTAAAAAACTAATTAAACTGATAGTATAAAGAAGTTAAACTTAAAAACTACATACTAATAATGTAAACATTCCTACATGTTCAGTATATTAACCTACTCCAACAGGGTATCCACTCTCTTTTCTGAATATATATATATATAT